CTCTATTACTCCCCGTGTCTTGGCGTGAGGAGGGCGGTAGGAGTGTGACCGTCCATGTTTTGAATGCTACAGATACAATGACTATTTTTCTAGTAGGATAACTCTTATCTTTTAAAAACAAAAATACAAAGAACATGAGTTTTTTTTAAGTTAGTGATACCATTTTTGTCACTGTCAAATGCAGAGGAACATACATGAATCTAACAACCTCTGAGCAGCAGGCAGGACAGAGCGAACCCCAGGTCGCACGGGTGCCCTGGCTCCCGCAGGCCCAGGAGCAACTGGCGGAGGGCAGGTCCCCGTGTGCCTCCCCCAACAGACAGGACCCCAGCTGTACCCACTGCCTCAACAGCTACTTCTTTAAAAGGCAAATTGGTGACCAGCTTAAGAAATTTAAATTGGTCATGCAAATGCAGTTTGTTTAAACTAACAAATGGTGACCTGCAGCTACACCTCTGTTTGGTGCGGTGGGCTTCCCGGGGTGAGCGGTCCTGTTCTGGGACCAGGGTGAAGTCTGAGGGAGGAGCTGCAGGGCATTGCCGAGCCTGCCACACTGTGGCTAAGCTAGGAACACCACTCTCAGAGCCACACTCACATTTCCCTATTCCAAGAAATAAAGAAACTGAACAGGCCTGAGGAAAGGATTTAGAACACACAAAACCTCAGGGTCCATTGGCCTAAGTTCCTGTGTCCCTCTGCTCATTATCTCTTGAGAGTTCATGATTCTAACAGACACACTAAGAAAACCTCACCCTGCACTCCAGAGCCCCACAGAGGTAGGATCTCCATTCCTCATTAAATAAACCCACCTCATTAACATGTGATGTCATACTAAAAATCATGCTTCCCACGTGAATGTCTAGTGGTGGATTCAAGACACACTGGGCCAGCTCCTTACTCTGGAGGAACGGCAAGCTGGTGTCCAGCGGCACAGCGCTGTCGCTGAAAGGCAGCACACTGCCCTGTGCTCCGGGGCTCCAGCGGGGCTCGGCCACCACATGGTCTTCTCCCAGCAGAACTGCAATCACCTTTCAAAGACAATCATGTCCTTAATAAAACACTCAAGCATACTTTTACAAGAAAAAACACACACAAATTACCTATTCACCTTCCCCATGTCTGAAAGTAACTGCTTAACTCCAAGACATCATAAAAATAACAGAATGCACTCTTATTGTTCTTGCACAAGGGCAGACACAGGTAAACCTCCACCAGTGGGAACTCCACGGAACAGCCAGCATGTACATCAGAAGGCATTTTCTTAGCAAACAGAGGAAGAGCAAAACGGCTGCCGCCCAGCAATCCTGACGAGTAAGGGTGTAGACAATGCTGTACACACCCCGTACCATCCTCCTCATGGGGCTGCTGTGGGGACCCAGGATGAGCAGGGTCTCTCTAACTGCTCTAACAGGTGTGTGCAGGACGCTGATGGGTAGGGCAGACTTGGCAGGAGTGCTGTCATCTGGGTCCTGATGCGATGGGCATGGAGGTTGGGCCGCAGAAGCTTGTGGAGAGCCATGAGGTCCAGGTCAGCCCCAACCTGGCTCTGTGTCCACACCCCACTCCCACTGCACAGCTCTCCTCCTCCCGACCCTGACCCAAAGGCTCTCCTCTTCGTGCCCCTGAACTTATGCTGAAAGAGAAGCTGACTGGATTCCAAATTACATGAGGGCATGATCACATTTCATGAAGCACAGACTCTCTAACATGGCACAGAGAGGGTGTAAGCACCGGGTGTCCAGAATAGACAGAAATGGGCTCATTCCACATTTACTGTATATACTGCAGCTTGTTTATTTAAATTCTGAGCCGACATGAAAAACACACGGTCAGCTGAGGAAACCTGGTGATGTTAAGAAACACTAGCATGGCTGAGGTAGCCACGGAGAGGATGGTGTGGTGACCACAACTTGTTCTGAGTAACTGAGGGGGTGGGAGGGTGGGAGCTCGGAAGAGACAGGTCGGCTGTGAGTCAGCAGCTGCTGAAGCACATGGGTGCACCCTGCTGTTCCCTTTACGCATTTTCAAAATTTCTATTAGTTTAAAAGACATGGGTGTCAAATACCCTAGAGGTGTACATGCCTTGCCAACTTAATACACCTGCTTTTCAGTCTTCATTTACTTTGACACGTGTGCAGCTGGCATGAAGCCACAGACCCGAGCCCACAGGCAGCCGCTGTGACATGCATCAGTGGGTCACTGGCACACAGGGCTTCATGACTGCGGAGACGCAGAGCACGTGGTGTACCTGGCAGGCGGCCCGGAGGAAGCTGGACAGCCTTGGTGTGTCAATCTTGGGTGCAGCCACAGTGTCAGAGACGGCGCCATCCTCAGCCCCTAGAAAATCAACGTGACCCTAAAGGAGTCCGCCTCACACGCCTTCGAGTCCAAAGAGGCTTTACAAACGGGCCCTGGAAGGAAAAGTCAGAGAAGTTTTCACTTATTCCCAAGATCTGCTAGTGATTTTTTCAAAAACAATTGAGTCTTGTTTTATAGAAAGCCTTTACATGGAATTTCCCTGAAACACTGAGGACAATAGTTAGAGGTGCCAATTCAATTGCTATGCAAGCACGAGGTATGCTATTCTCACAGGGTGAGCCTCCATGAGGAAGGGGAGTGAAAGGACCCCTGCCCACAGATACCCCCAGAGCAGACCACCCACCAGCACTCATGCAGCTCCAGGGACCCGGTGTTGAACACATGTGCTGTGGGCCTCATGCCTGTACCATGAACACATCTGAACACTTAGGTATGAAACACATCTGGTCCTTAAATATGAAAACTCCACTGAGCAGAACAGCCTGCCCCCAGGGTGGGAGCAGAGCAGTACAGCCCGTCTGTGCTAGCCCGCCGGGACATGGGGGCACCCCTCACGTCGGGGGTAAAAGCGCCGTGAACCCTGCTTAGGGCCCAGCAGAGCCTCTGGTGCAGCACCCAAGTCAGCAGCTCGCAGAAGCTGGTTTGCTCCCCCATGTCACGTGCTGACAACCACCCCCAGTGAAAGATCTAAGGAAGAACAAGAAAGGTGACCCCAGAAACCACCAGACACTCCACTCCCATCGGCCCAGAGCACAGAGCTGTTTACCCCCAGACACAGCAGCGCCTTCTCCCGGGTGCTGGGTCCACACCTCCTGGGCTTCGACCTCTTCGGTCTGAATGTCTCTCTCAACGTTATCTTCATTACACTGAACATACGCCTTGAAAACAAAGGTACGCTGGACTGAGCAGCGGGTCGCACCGCCAAAGCCATCTCTAATCATAGAAAAGAAAATGATCTTGACTTTAAAGTTGGCAGCAGCAGCTGCAGGCCTCTGCCGAGTGGACGTGCTGTGGCATGAGTGACAGTCACGGGAACACGGCCTGTGCCGTAGATATGGATGCGAACAGTTCTCTTTTTCAAGGTGTTTTCAAAGTGGCACACCAAGCGATTTAGCTTTGGTTTGAAAATCCCGCCACCCTGTCCAACTTCATCCTATTCTCTTGAACATTCTGGCTTTGCAAAACCAATTGCAACTTTATTTCAAAAAGGAAGATGCTTCAGTAAAGAGTTTTGTTACTAATAGCTTTGAAATGAGGAAACAAGCAAAGAAGTTACACCATCTACTCAAGGTCAGAGTGAGCCGACTGCAGAACAAGGGTTTGTCTATCAGCTTTTTCATCCTGTGACCTTCCCACCGAGTGTGCCCGGAGAGCAAGCTGGTCGGTGGCACCATCGGGAGCATGAGGGGGAGGTGAGGGAGGACCCCTGACTGCAAACCTTCACAGCCTGACTGGAAGGTGGACCACCGCACAATCAGTGACTGGAAGCACCACAGAGAAGCACAAAATTCTGGGGGACGGATCGGAGCACCTCTGGACTAGGAGAATTCAGTGACGGTCACTAGGGAACAACTCACCCAGAAAACGGGCCATGGACACCAAGGAACAGACAGGCGGGTGCCTGCAGACACCGGGCCGCCCCTCTGTGCTCAGGAGCACCAGTGAGGAAGGGGACCCTTTCCCAAGGAGACACCCTCCACGCCACTCCCAAGCCCCAGGAGTCCCGCACAGGGTGACGGGCTGCACAAGTTCACCTTATTGTGCTTCATTTGCATTTCTGTCACTTACTCAGCACACCTCATACTGACCTGCTCGGTATTCTTTTTCCCAAAGTTTCTGATGCACATGTCATATTCGTTTACTGGCAGCAAGTCCAAGAGAGAGAAAGTGACAGAAAAGTCTAAGTCAATGAGCCGAAGCAGTTTCAGACTGCGCGTCCTTCAAAGCAAATCGAAAACAAGAAGCAGTTAAACTGAAGATATACAAAGGGACATCTGGGGAGAGGGTGGTGCATTGTGACTAGACGTCGGTGACTGCCAAGGCCCACCTTCGTCAGGTGAGCCTGAGGTATCAAATGAAGATAAGATGGCCATACATGGACCAATGATGTGAGTAAACATGAGCCAAACAATTAATTATCCTAATTCAGTGCCCCTGAGGTTAACACAGACCAGAGTTGCCGTGTGTGTGCCATTCTCAGGGAAAGCAATTCCCTGCATGCTGTGTTATGGCCTCCATGGGCACCCTGACACTGGCACCCCGGGGTCAGTCTGGCTTTCCCCATGACCCTCCCCCGGCCCCACACAGCTCTGTAGGGCAGGGAGCTTTATTTCTCTCACTTACTGTGACTTCCACACAGTCAATGATCAATCAACATGGGCTGAACGAGGGGAGAAATGGCCCCCAGTCCCTGGGGAGCCCCGTTACTTGGCTTGCCCACTCCTTCCTTCCCCGCCCCTCGGGGTCTTCACCACGGCCTTCCCCGCTGTGGCCTTACTCTCTGCCCCCCATCACCGTCCTCCCCGCCCCCTGCCTCCAGTCTTCCATTGTCAGTGTGATTTCTGACTTGAAGTGACTCATGCAGAAGCTCCACGTCACAGGTCCTCACACAGGGACTGTCTGAGGGGCCAAGGCCCAGAACCAGGGAACCCCAGATGGCCCAGGCCCACGAGGGGCTCCCTTACTTCACAGAACCCCCTGCCAAGCTCTACATGGAATTTGGTGATTATCTTATTCTTCATTTTTAAAATATCATTTCATCGTATTTACATCTGCCTGAGGAGCTCACGGTGTAAATTCTGATTGTTTCCAGGTAAACCATATGTAGTTTCTAAGACTTGAATAAGGTTAAAAAATATGTAGCCATATAGGCAGGAAGAGAAGGCCCAAAATATAATAAAAACACTGTAAAACCTCATATTCTTATTATTAATGATTGATTTGTTCATTTGGCAAAACTTGCTGAGTACTTACTAATGCCAAGTAGTGAGCTAGATGGTATGATGGATTTTTAAATCCCCTCCAAAAATGAACGTTTAATTTTCATATTTACTCCTAAATAGTACTTGGATTAAATATGTATATGGCGGACCCTTGACTTAAGACCATGTCCTTTAACTTACAAATTTCTAAAATTTTCCATTTCCAAATTTAGAGTAATTAATTATCAGCTCGGATGCCTGGTGGCCCTGGGTTCAGAAATGAGCTCCACCGTTCCCCAGAGGCTGGCCTGAGCCCACTTCCCTCACCTAGACACCAAGGGGGAAGGACCACAGGCCGGCAGCCCATGGGAGGCAGGGCGCCCAGCACAGGCAGGGCAAGCATGCGGCGCACGGTCCCGGGGATGCTCGCCGCCACGCACCCTCCCAGGCCCTGGTCTGAGAATTATGGAGCAGCGCTTGGCTGTGGGTGACCTCAGGGTGGCAGGAGCTGAGCCTAGCGGAGTGACACATGGGGATGCCTGCACGGGTCTGGCCACCAGCTCTGGGTGTGGTGAGTGCGTGGCGCCTCCCAGGGGCACGTTGGTTGGAGCACAGCCCCCACCCAGCCTCCCAGCCCAGAGCAAGGTAAGGCATCTGGGCAGCTCAGCGGCCAGACACAAATGAGGGAAAAGCCCTGGTTTTTAAACTACATTGAAGAAAAGCACACTAAAACACCACTATGCTTTACACAAATCTCCCAATATACCTACTTTTGCTTCAGGGCCTGAGTCCGACTCTTTTGACGGTGTGAGGCTGTTGCAAAATCCACAAAAATTCCACAAACAGGGGCTCTGGAAGGGGAACTGCTTGCATCTGTACAGATAAAAGACTTTTTGGGCAACTGAAACATTTCTTTCAACAATCAAAACAAATCAAGAGTAAAACAATTAGAAGCATGGATGATAAACTCAGTAAGGCCTTTGCACACAGCTAGACAGCCACTAGCACATAACAGGCCTGCTTCGCCAATTTCATCCAAAACTCTGAGGCAACAAAACCAAATTTACTGTGTGAGTCAATCACGTGATTAAGAGTTTTAGAAATATTTAAGAATTCCCACCCCAGTCTCCCCATCCAGCCCCTACAAAAAAGGTACCTTCTAGTAAGGGAATCGGGACATGAATATGCAAAACAGCTGAGAAACAGAAGCAGATGGGAGTTCGTACTGAATCTGTCATTTCCGTCACAGAGAGAAAACAGGAGAGCAGGCGTGGGTTCATCCAAAGACTTTGTAGTGGGCAGAGGGTGGGCTGGGTGGGGGAGAAGCCACGGGACTGGCTCACTAGGCTCCTGCTACGTGAACAGCCCCACCCAGCACCCTTGGTGGCCAGGACCCCCTGGGCTCCTCTTCCCTCTGCAGATGTCCATTGCTCCCCGTATGGATTTACCCCATCTTTGTTTGTGTATTTATTCCAATTGCATCTTAATCTGCCTTCTCATTCTTCAGATATGTGTTTGGGCTCTTCAGAGGAGCATGAGCAGTTCGATCCAATCCACGGGGCGAGCAGCCAGAGGCGCAGCCCGACCTGGGCTGGAAGACTGAGCTCAAGCCCAGCTGTCCCTGTTACTTGCTCTGGGGCTGTGAGCAAGAGGCTCACCTGTGCCTGCACATTCTCACCTGTTAGGACATCTACACAGGACCGAGATGAGGGCCAAGGCAGGCTGTGCTCACAGTAAGTCCTGCCAAGTGTGCGGCACCATGTGAACACTAAGAGAACTGCTGACCACTGTTCCTGCTTTAGAAGTGAGGAAACTGGCCCATGTGCGAAGTCACAGGATTAGGACTAGAACAGAGGTGCCCGTGGAGCAGGACCCACATGCACCAGCTGTCAGCACTCAGGCTCACCTTCTGGAGGTGTACATACCCCTAAATACCATGCACCTCGCACCCTGGGGAGCTATTGACCCCTGGCTTCCTAGGCCCTGAGGGAGGATAGGGGGCAGCTTTAACCAAACAGGCCGACCACCACAGAGGGCGCAGGGTGTGGGCCGCACAGGGTGTAGGCGAGGAGCACTCCAGCACCCACTAGGCCATGGCGGTGAGCAGCACTAGCAGCTAACACACCATGCTCAGTGTGCACCTGACCCTGCACGCCCCATGGTCACGGCCCTGAAGACCCTCCCCCTGTCTGCAGATGAGGGACCAGAGCCCGGAGAGGCCGGCCAGTGCTGGCGCCAGCACCCTGCAGCAGCACCCCACTGCCTCCCATGGCAGGCGGCACCCGTGCTGGCTCTGCACTCACACTCGGCGGCGAGCGCACAGCCCTAGCCCTCTTAAAACAACGCCTTATGCTGTGCAGGGAGGTGGGATTCTCATCTTGTTAATTCACGCTCTTCAAGGACACAAGGCCCAGCAAATGGCAGGACATGAACAATAAGAAAAGGTCATTCAGAGCTTGGCTAGGAACCTAGGAACTTGGAATCCAATCCTGTACGCTTCTCAGCAACTTCACGGCAGGGCTGGGAATGCTGCCCGAAACCTCCCTGCGCACACAGCCACGACTGAGGGGCATGGGGCAGCACTTGCTGGACGTCACCACCAGGAAAGGGAATCTTTTAGCTACAAGTCTGGACACTTTTCTACACATCCACACTCACCAGCTGTTTCCGACCTCTGCTGCAGGCACCAATAATCCCTCTACCTGACCTTCACTTGGATTATCACATCACATTAATTACTAATCCAACTAACTGTACTAGTGACTAATTATTCTACTAATAATTTAAAGTAGTATGTTACCCAATATTTTCAATATTGTCCTACTTGACCTTCTGTGCTATTATGTTAGTGACAATTTTTTCTATGAATGTCATAGTTTCACTTTAACTGATTTAAAAATATTTACTCCTAATTCCTACAAGTAATTTTTAACATAACCAGATGCCAGTAATTTCTGAGCAAAATACATTTCTAATTTCATTTTAAAAGATCCCTGGGAGAGAAGGCTCACTCAGAAATGCTCCTGCGAACAGGCGAGAGGGGCCGCGTTTCTGGTCCTTGGCCATGGCCGCACCACAAGGCTCCCTCTGCTGGCACTTCTGAGCCACTTTCTCTCGTGGACAAGGAGGGAACCTCAAGGACAGTGGCATCAGAGAACAAGAGCTTGTGGGGCAGACGGCACCGGCTGACAACACAAGGACACACCGCTGCGACAGTGCTCACAGCCGCCCTGGCCACAGGCACCACAGGGAGGCTGGCTGCGCATCGTCTCTGCGTGACCCTAACACACGCGTCATCAGTGTCTGCTGAGTGTCGAGCACGGCATCGTCATGGGGGCATGAAATGCTTACACATCCGCCACCTGACTAGAGTGACCCCGCCCGTGACACACGTCTGTGGGGTCTTGGTGCCGTCTGGGCACATGGACACACACCATATTGATTTGCATACCAGATTTCCTTGTAACTGCCATCAGACCTTGCTTCTGAAACAGCTTCAATGACAACTCTCCAATCCTCTCATTTTCTGCATTAATGGCTTTTTGAATTTCTTGTATCTCCTTTTTTCTGGCTGGAGGAAGTTCTTCTATTTTTTCTTTTGGTTCTGGCTCATTAGCACTATCGTCATCCTCTCCATCACAAACCTCAAAGTCATCTTCATAGTCCTACAAAAAATAACACCACTTTGGAAATGTCAGGGCAAAGTGACTTCAAAGAACACTCATACAAATCATAATTTAAAATAGACAAAGTCCTCACCGTGGCTAAGAAAACTTTTTATAGTTTATTGATTTCAATGGCACTGAATTATAAATCTGTGTACCATTTTTTTCTCTAAAAAGGAAACACACTATGTAGAAACATACACTAAAAGCTCTTAGTAATAATATGGAATTTTGTGCTGAGAGTGTGTCTGTGCATACAAATATATAAACTATGTATGTACTATACATGCACATGCATAATTACATACTCTGCATGCACATGCATGCACAAAACATATACCCTATAAACATAAATACACACATGCACATACTCTATATATATCCTCTATAAACACATACAACTATATATATGCTCTATATACATATACACACATGAACACACACTATACATATACTACATACACATGAATATACACTATATATGCTCTATATACATATATACATGCACACTCTATATGCACATCCTCTGTATACATATATACACTATACTCTAAAAACACACACATGCATATACGCACTATACACATATATACACATGCACACACATAATACTCATACTCTACATATAAACATGATATATACCATATGCACACATATACATGTATATATTCATATGTATGTTTGAATGCAGTATACTTGAAAATGGGTTAAATTGTATAATTATTTAATTACATCATATTGGTAAGAGTTGACAGAGGTATGACAAACGTTTCAGAGGCAAAAGGCCTGCATCAAACAGATATGGAGTATGAAGAGTAACAATAAACAGAAAAAAGCTACTAAGTTACTCTACTCGAGTTGATTCTTAAGAACAGATTATTTTTAAGCCAAGAAAAATTTTAACTTTTATACATACTTCAAAATCATCTTCAAAACTAGCTGTATATCATCAGCTACAGCATTTTCTAAATTAATGTTGTCCTTTTCAATTTCCTAGAGATAAAAATGAAACATACAACAAAAAATTCAATTATAAATTTGAATCTTGAAAATGGGTTGGAAAAGTATGTTTTCTGAGATTCATCTGATGTTGCTAATTTTAAAATGTTAAGTATTTATAAAACTAACATAACCTGACTTCAAATTATTTAAGAAACACCTTGCTAACTTATAAATATGATCAAAAAGAGAAAACAGTTAATAAACACATCCTTTTTGAAAAACCTCTATAATTCTGATAACTGAAGAAAAAAGTTATATATGTAAATAAAAAAAATACAAATAAATGGCCAATAAATTATTTCTATGAACAAATTCCAAACTTCCAGCACACCTCTCTGGCTTCCCTTCTTGTCCGTGAACAAATCCCCACATCCACACTGTCAAGAACAGACACACAGACGTGTGCTAAAGCAGACGCCAGTGCAGGGCTGTCTGAACTGCCCCAATGACAGAAAAGCTCATGTGTGAAGTCCTCACGTTCCTGTCCTTGTCACTTAGAGCAAGAAGGGCTGCTCAGATCTGGGCCTGTCCCTGGGCATCAGGGTGCACCTGGCTCATCACTGATCCACTCCCAGCCTCATTTTACCGAATTATTTACTTAATTTCCTATTGTAAAAATGTCAGCTTCCTTTTTAATGTTAAGTTCAAAATTTTATATAGATTTCTGAATATGTTGCAAGTGCGTTTGTAATATAATCACACCCTTAGACTGCCTGTTCCCTAGAAGGTCAGTAATCATCCCATATTGATTTCACGTGCAGCTGACCCTTGATCAGCACAGGAGTTATGGGCACCGACCCCACCACCCCAGTTAAAAATCCACATATAAGTAGACCCATACACTTCGAACTGTGCTGCTCGAAGGTTAGCAGTACAGACTTGAATCACATTTTTACCAAGGTCACTACTTTTAGGTGACAAGTCTGATCATTTGGCTGCATGAAGATGACCTCTGGGTCTCAGGGAGACCACAAAGGCAGTGACCATCAGAAAACGGTACCTTGGGCTCCCCTGTCCTGTGCTCCTTTCCCAAGGGCCTGTGTCCTGTCCGTGTGGCCCTGGTGCCTCTCATCACCCAAGTGGAAGCCTTCCTTACGGCGTTTCTCTCTGCTCTGCTCTGCTTCTTCCTTGTCAGGGAATGAACTGCTTTTTTCTTTTGGATGCTTTTCTCTTCTTTCCCTTGTGTTGCCTTTTTCTTGATGCTTCCTTTCTCGATCTGGCTCTTTCTGCTTCCTATGGCTTCTCTCACCTTCTTCCTTATAAAGCCAGTACTTGAGAGGGTTGTCTTTACTGTCACTGTACTGTGGCTGTGGACATGGCACAGGGACAAGCACGTGAGCACACAGGCAGGCACGCAGCGCTTCACGCGTGTTGCGGTGATGGTGGGGACCAGCACTGCCCCTCCTTCCTCCATCCTGCTGCAGCTCCTTCCCAAAAGCTTGCTCTGCTGATGCACAGGAGAAGCCACTGCCCCCCTGCAGATGCAGCACCCACCCGCCCCACCTCACAGCAGTGACTCTGCCAGGCACCCTCACCAAAATGGGGGACAGCGTCCAGATTCCTCACATGGCACATGGGACTCTGCATGGTTCACCCTGCCCCATGGCCTGGTCCCCAACTCCTGGACTCCACAGCCTGCACACTCCTCCTGGGGAGTCCAGGGACCTCTCTAGAGGACATGCTTCATGAGCAGCATGTACCTCCAGCCTCTCTGCTGGGAAACTCCACGTCTGCTTCCCACCCACAGGGAGATTCTCAAACCAGGCTCCATCATTTAGTCATGTCTGAACCCCAAAACAGTATGAGTGCCGGGTATTAACTGGAGAGGTCCCTTGCAGGGCCACGCTCGCCTGTGCAACACCTGGCTCAGACCCAGTCCTGCCAAGCAGAACCCCAAACCGCACTGTGCTGCCTGCCACTCAGGACTCCTCCACTCACACCCAGGCAGCCACTCCCACTCCAGCCAGAGGTGCCCGCTAGGCTCAGTGCACCCTAGTCCCGTTCCCACCACCCAACTCCCACCAGCTCTGCTCAGCTACCAGGGTGATCTTCCTACAGAAAACATGGTGCCAAGTCCCTGACAAAACTCCTCGGCTGTTAAGTGAGATTACCAACACAAGCCCGTCACCAAAATAAATTCTGTGGAGGTTAAAGATTTAAGTGGTAAAAAAAATTATAAGTACTCAGAACAAAACACAGGTGACTATTAACACTGGTGTGGGGAAAGGGCTGTGTATACATTATATCAGAAATAATGAAAGACAGACTTGATTACTTCATAATTTTAAACATACTTACAAAAACAAAGATTCCACAAATAAAATTCAAAATGGAGAATGGCAGTAGGATGTGCAGCAGGGAGCCTACCTTTAAAGCACCCTTAAAATCAACAAGACGGGGTCCTGGGGCAGGAAGAAAATGTGCACCAGTGGTAACAGCAGGGCAGGAACCTTTACCAAATGCTCAGAAAGTCCTTTTCTTCTGAATCAAGTGAGCAGAGATTAGAAATGATAATGCCCAACTGCTGGTTAGGACCTGGGGAATCACATTCTAATGATACAAATAATTACAGCTTTCATGGAAAGCAAGTGGGGTAAGTTTACAATCACCTTAAGCTGGCAAGTTCATTTCCAGAAATTAATCATATGGGAATAATTATGATAAGTACAAAAACTTTATACCATGGATGTCTTTATGATAAAAAAAATTCAGAAGCAACCTAAGCATCCAAAAAAAGATGTGTCAAGAAAACTATGATACATCCATATCATTGAATATTATAATTATGCAGCCATAATAATAATATAGAGAAATATGATTACTTCGAAGAATGCTAAAAATATACTCAGTTTAAAGTTTATAAAACAGCAAAAATCTAATTTAAGAAAAATGGTGTATGTGTACATAGACGAATACATACTTAGAAATATATATACATGAACCTGCTAGGACATATACCTACACATTATCAGTAATTGTCTCTGGGCTGGGATTCATTTTTTTTCTTATTATTATTTCCTAAATTTTCCAAAATGACAAAGTATTGCTCTTGGAATCACAGAAAAACACTTGACTAAAGAGAAATACCTGAGTGTCATGTGGCCAAGAGCTTTTCAGGCCTGGAATTCTGTTTTACAAAGCCTGCCAGCCCTCCACAGAGAATGCACCCCCCTCCACCCAGCAGCCCTGAGAGCCCGTTGCCCAGCCCGCGGCCCACCCTCCTCTCCCGGGGTCTCTGCTCTCTCCCTCTGTCTCCTCTTTTGGGGTCTTCCTCTACCATCTCCTTCTCTTCAGTTTGTACTTTACTAACTACAAAAATAAAAAATATTTTTAACATTCACAAATGAGCACATCAAAAAGATCTTCTAACCTCTTGCTGATCTTTACTGTATGTACCACATTACTACACAGTATATATTAACACATATGAAAAGATATTCTTCAGTTAAAACACATCCTCCAATCCCAAGAATAGGAAGTTCTAGAATCTGACCCTAAAATGGAGTGAAGAGGGACATCAATGGCAACTGCCACTGAGACAACCCAGAAAATGTCAGACTGACCCCTGGACACTGAAGAGATGCACCAGACAGAACAAAAGGCCATCAGAGCTCACAGAGCTGGCAGAGGCACTGGGAAGCAGGGCCCCATCTCTGAGAAGAGCCTGCACAGCTGAGCAGACGCTTCTGCCAAGGGCCCAGCTTCAAAGAAGTAAACGTCGCCTCAGGGATGAACTTCATAACCACACCAGGCGCCCCACCCCTTGCCCCTGGAGCCCACCACTGAGGGCACGGCAGGAGGGGGGCCCAGGGCCCCACCCACAGTCTGCCCTTTCTCCCTGCCAGGAGGGACTCAGGAGAGCCATACACGACCACTGCTGACACCCACAGTACCACCCGATGGTGGAAAGTCGGCCTGTACTTTTAAATATGCAAAAAAAGTCATTAGGCTTAAACTAAGAGCACCAATATTTTTAAAGATGAGGACAAAATTAAACATTCAGAGATCACTGAAACAAAGTTCATTCATTCAAAAAGCATTGACTGGGCATTGGCCACTCTTCTGATAGCCAGAAGTACCATGGATCAAAAAATGGGGTGGAGAGACAGAATAGGGTTGGGGTGATTCCCAGGTTTTCCCATCTGAGGAAGGGAAGGACACAGGTGCCGTCCACTGAGACAGGGAAGGCTGTGAGAAGTTGGTGTCTCAGAGCTCCCAGAAGTTCATCTTGAAGGGCATTAAGTTCGCAACATTATCAGAGAGCAAGTACAGGAGGACATACAAGCCCAGACAGGGATGAGGCCCACCTGGGAATCAAACTTGGAAATCAGGAACAGATAAAGGTATTTAAAACCATGAGACTGGACACATTCACCAAGGCAGAGAGCAGCTACCGAGGTGGTGCGGAACAGGGGCCCGTTTTACAGAAGGGGAGATGCAGAGGGGATGAGGGAGACACAAGAGCAGCCAGGAAGGAGGAAGGGATGTCGGGGTCTAAGTGCACGATCTTCCCGGTGCGTCCCTCTCGATACTGCGTGGGAGAAACAAGATCGGGAGACGACCGGAAAAGAATGTTCTGAGGACAAACAAGATTCCATTGGAAATAAATACGAAGAACATCAAAATAATGACCCTAAAAAGAGGCAATGGAGAGTAAGGTAGCTGCTGTTAGACTTAACGAGTGGCAGGTAACCTGTTAACCAGCAGTTAAAATACACCCCACCCAACAGAACACGAGGTGACACTCCCAGCCTCCCCGGGGGCTGTCTGCAGAGGCGTGCGATGCCCCAGCAGCAGAGGGAGTGGTGGGCTCCAGGGAACGGTCCCACTCACATCCAGGCCCTCCTGGCTCCCCATGACTCCAAGAGCTGCCACAATTTCTTCTCATATACTCCTTTTCTTTTGAAGTTGGCTAGTTCACATTTTTTATAAGAAGCATATACTATTTGTATAATTATAAAAGAGTGATGATATTTCCATTACAGGGGGAGAAAAGATATGCACCTTTACCTTAGAGTTCCTAGGAATTTAGATAAATAATACTTACAGTGCTGAAATAAAAATGGAACTTCTGATGAATTCTTTTTATCAAAGAGCATTATTTTTATTTACACTGTGGGTTGACATTTATTGATAATAAAACTGAAATGTTTCAATAGCAAAACTCTAGTAAATAAGGAGAAATTGTTACTGCTTTCATTGAATGAAGTGAGTTTCTAAAATAGCAAAAAGAAAACAACAGTGAAACTCAAATGGGCCACAGCTTCAAACTCAGAACTCGGACATTTATGAAAAGCACCAGAGAAAACAAAACAAACGAGTGAACAGTAGAAAAGAGGAAGTGCCCCCAAACTGTGAGCCCTTTACTTCACGGGAAAATGCAGAGGACGAGACACACCAGCTGCGCACCACCTGCCAGCACCTAGGACCCCCAGGACACTCCCGTGACCCCCGAGGACATGCCCACGTCCCACCCCAGGCCCTGCTGCACACGCACCTGACCGCACCCTGTGCTCCACTCTCTCCAGGAGCTGCGGGCCCCGCAGGCTGTGGGGAGAAGCCATCTGCCGGAGCTCCGCTCTCTGGGCCCGGGGCTCCTTGCCTCTGTCCCTGTCTTTTCCTCGGCTCTGGGGCTTTTCTGCATCCTGCTCCCGGGACTTCTCTCCCAGCTTCTCTCTGCTCCACTCGCAGGTGTCCTTTCTCCTCTCCCGTTGCTTGTCCCTGTGCCGCTCGCCACGAGCCTGCTCCCTGGCACCATGGCCTTCCTGTCCAGCCATCCTCTCCTGGGGCTTGTGCTCTCTGCACCCGGGGGAGTCCGCTCCTGACTCCTTGGACAGCTTCCATTCCCTGTGCTTCTCCTCTGTGGGACCACCTGATGGTGTGTTCTGAGCAGGAGACAGGCCCTCACAGTCATACCCAGGGACAGACCCCCAGCTGTGTGCCAGCCCAGCAAGGCAGGCCTGGACCAAGAACAGACAGAAAGGGGGTCAGATGTAGCATTTCTATGGCTTGTCATGGTACCCACTTAGCAGACCCTCACGCCTATTGGCAAATCAAATCTAAAATTCCACACTGGTAAAAAAGAAAAGGAAGGGTACACTGGGCTGGGCTTTAAATCTGAGACATGAACTGCCTGGGTCCCACTCAAGGAGCAAAGACCCTCTTTATAAAATTCTCAGGAAGCCTCCATCCAAACTGCAAGCCCCCTCTATACATGCACACACACACATGACCGCACAAATGTACTCACACACATATACACAGAGACCACACATACATGTACATGTATACCCAGAGACCTCACACACATGCAAACATGTATACACAGAGACCACACACAAATGTACACTCCACACATATAAACATACACACACAAATGCATATACACACATGGAAACCACACCGATGCACATACCACACATGTATACATACACAGAGACTATACACACTACACACATGCGTGTACACATAGACCAGATAAATGCATGCACTACACATGTACACACATGTGCGAGCACATACCACACATGCATGCACATCTGCACACAGACACGCACACACTCTCTCTTACACAAACAAACACATACACACAGCGCAAAGTCTGAACCATGACAGAAACCCGACCATGAAGGTGGGACACAGGCTGGGCTGGGAAACCTGGTCCCACCACTTCCAGGGCTTTGTCTCTGAAATGAGCCACATGCAGGTGCAGCTGTGCAGTGCAACGTGGACACCACCACCCGAGAAGCCAGCCCAGCCCCAGAGACCCCAGCTCAGTTCTGTGAGCACATTACCCAAAGGTGTCTCCTCAGGTTGTCTGCTTTCCAAGTGTCATCTTTGGTTTTTCTCTAAAAACAAAAACAGAAAGAACTTCTGTTTTTACATTTGATATTTTTAATTTATTTAAGCAACACAGAAAAAAGTTCATCAAGTTAGAAATTTTATGGCTTTAAATAACTAACTTTGTATGCTCTGGTGAGCTGCTTTTTCTTTAGGCCATTTAAGTCAACGGCAATTAGTCCTTGATATGCAAGAAGTTACTGTCAGTCTACTGGAATGAAAGGCAAGAGAAATACAGATTCTCAGAAATCATTCACCAGTCTAAAATCACCAACAAACAATTGTAAGGTGCTCCTTTGGCTGCTTCACAATATAAAGTCCCTGCTGCTTTAAGGCTTGGGCACAGACTGCACTCACCCCTCACCTTCCCCACAACACCCGGGACCCTCCCTGGGCCCGGCCTGAGCCCGACACAGCGGGATGCTGAGGGAGAGTCACTCAGCAAGCCGGCCAAGGGCTTCCCGCCAGAGAGCAAGACAAATTCATCCTGTTTCATTTTCCCTTTGAGAGGCACTGCCTTAAGGGGTACAACTAAGGGAAAATTTGGCCTGCTTCAAATTTAAAGTAAATGTACAAATGAAAAATAAAAACTTATTCATGGAGAAGCCACCAAACATCTTCCTTGTGATGTGAAAATTAAGCACACAGGAAGAGCTCAAGAAAGCCCCTCAGCATATTAATTAGGAATTAGTAAAAAATCAGTTATAAGAATCTAGCCAAAGTATACAATATTCACAAAATTTACTGTGATGTACTATCACTAGAAAACATACTCTTTTTTGATAAATTGGTCTATATAACAAAATGAGTCCACTGTAAGGGAGAGTGTAAGATGATCAGCTGCAATTACTATAACTATAATTTACACCTTCTGAAATGTAAAATCTTTTCTCCCTCAAGCTACGAGCTCTGTATAGAGGTTATGATGTTCTCCAAACAAACAGTCCAAACTCCACGCAGTTTGAACTCCAAACACATGGTGTGTGCTGCTGGAGGGGTTGACGACAGGGCAGAAACCCCTCTGCGCAGGTGGAACAGCCCCAGCTCAGGCTGGGTGTCTCAGGCAGCCCCCCTGGTCCCACTCATTTCCAGAAAGCAGTTTCCCCAAAGCACACAGATCCGCAGAAGGAATACCACATCCCAGCCAAACAGCTCGACCACCTGGGCCTGCCTCCAAGCCCCTCAGCGCATGGCACTGACTCCCACAAGGTCTTGGGGTATCCTGGACTGGCAGCACAGTGCCCCTCCCGCCGTCAGCGCCCAGCGCCAGCTCAGCTCAGCAAAGGCGAAAGCGGAATATCCACTAACTGGCTGGCTGCACTTTCAGGAGTGCTTAGAGGAACTGAGGGGCCTTGCTTCCCGCCCCGTGTGGGAAACAGTCATGGTTCCTTGAGCCTGGGCACTAGCACCCTTCCCCACAGGGCTGGTCTGCCTCCCCAGCCTGGCTGGATGGGTCAGACACACCCATCACCAAGTCTAACTCTGCCACAGTTCCTGACCCCACACATCCCATGCAATCCCACAGCTGCACACCCAGCCCAGGATCTCACGCAGCGGCAGACACAGTGCCTAACTGTCTACAGCACACCTGGCCGGGCCCAGTCCAGGGGGTCTAGTTTGAAGCACCAGGGGTGGTGACCCTGCCTGACACCAGCAAGAATTCCCAGAAATGCAGGTCAGAGTGAGCAGGGCCCTGGAGATACAGAAGGGAGGTGACAGTCTAACTGGCACATTCGCCAAATGACCCACAAGGGGTGAGGCTGGTTCACACAGTTCTAGGACCGAGATAGAACTTACCTTTGACTGCCTTGTTTTTTAATTATCCCTCATACTAGAAATGATTTTAATTATCAAATTCAATTGTTTAGGAACAAACTATGAATGTGGCCTATTCAATTTCTTGGCTGCTTTTCCTTTTCCTTATCTGCTGTATAAATGCTGGCTCCATGGCAATAAAGTGGCCTGGGAAGAAAACAATCGTCAAGGAAACTGAGATTACTGACTGAGCCCCTGCTATTCCCTACAACCCCCACATTCACGCTTTACCATCAGCTCACGCCTGAGAGCTCGAAGGACGTTCACACTGCAGATGACAAACTCCTGGTCTTAGAGTCCATGTATCTGCAGACGAGAGCCCTGCTGTGGGGGTGCTGCACCAGCTCTGACAGCACTGAGTCAGAGGTCCATCCTGCCTGAGGGCTGCATTTCCAAGGTTCCAGAGAAACAGTCCTGGGTTGTGCAGACACCCAGACATCTGAGAGGCACAGAGGAAAGATACACAATTGTAAATGTGATAAGAAATGGGGACAGGCCTGTCCAGGTGTTAGCCAAACTGTCATTCTTTTGAAAGTCAGGCAGTCTCTTCCTGCAGGAGACCCACACGAGTGGGTCAGTAAGGGCCAGCCCTCAGAGAGTCCAGTGCGGTCACACTACAACAGCCAGCCGCTCCACAGGTAGGGGGCAGCAGCCCTCACTGACCTGAGCAGTTCACGCAAGCAGGTGGTGAGCTGCTTAACACAGCAGTTTGTATTTCACATCAGTATTTCAAAGGGAGGGTAGAGATTTATTCTAAGGATAACCTAAACACAAACTACATGTATCTACATATGTAGTTACTTATCTACATACATTTAGATTTCTGTAGACACATATCTACTTCTAACCCGAACCCGAACCCTGAACCCAAACCCTAACCCTAATCCTAAACCCTCACCATCACCCATATATCACCGTATCCTTGAACCTCAATCTCGCTCTTGACCTCACATCAGAGGCAGACCTGAACTCTAACCACACCCCAATTTTCCACATAAACCTGACCAAACACTTAACCAAACCCTAGCACTGGGCCCTGGATCTGACCCCTCACCATCATCGTCATCACCCACATATCACCGTAACCCTGAAACTCAATCTTGCCCTCGCCCACACATCAGAGCCTGACCCTAACTCTAACCGCAACCTTATCTTCCAAGTAAACCTAACCAAATGCCTAACCATAACCCTAGCCCTGGCCAGAGGACCTGACCCTTCACCAACACCATCTATGTCACCCACACATCACCATAACCCTGAAGCTCAATCTTGCCCTCGTCCTCACATCAGAGTCGGATCCTAACTCTAACTATAACCCTATTCTTTCCGTACACCTTACCGAATACCTACCCAAACCCTAGCCCTGACCCTGAACCTGACCACTCACCGTTACCATCGACGTAACCCACGCTTCACCATAACCCTGAATTTCAATCTTGCCCTCTCTCATATCAGAACTGGACCCTAACTCTAACCGTAACCCTATCTTCCCCGTACACATTACCAAACACCTAGCCCAAACCCTAGCCCTGGCCCGTGGACATTACCTCTCACTGTCACCATCGATGGCTATGCCTCACCATAACCCTGAACCTCTATCTCGCCCTCGCCTTCACATCATAGCTGGACCCTAACTCTAACCGTAACCCTATCCACCCCGTACACCTTACCGAACACCTAACCCTAACCTTAGACCTGACCCCTGGAACTGAACCCTCACCAAAAGCATCGACATCACCCATGCCACACAGTAACACTAAAGTTCAATTTCACCCTCACCCTAATATCAGAGCCAGACCCTAACACTAACTATAACCATATCCTCCCTGTAAAACTTACCAAACACCTAACCCTAAAACTAGCCCTGAACACTTGACCATCGACATCAACCACACCTCATTATAACCCTGAAACTCTACCTCACCCTCACCCTCACATCAGAACAGGACCCAAACTGTAACCCTAACCCTATCCTCCCCATAAACCTTACCGATCACCTAACCCTAACCCTAGCCCTGGACCCTAGACCTGACCCCCCACTATCACCATTGACATCACCCATGTTTCATCATAAATCTGCTCAATCTCACCATTGCCCTCACATCAGAGCTGGACCCTAACTCTAACCGCAACCCTATGTTCCATGTAAACCTAACCAAACACTTAACCCTAACCCTAGCCCTGGCCCCTGGACCTTACTCCTCACTGTCAGCATTGATGTCACCCACAACTCACCTTATTCCTGAAGCCCAGTCTCACCATTGCCCTCCCATCAGAGCCAGAACGTAACTTTAACCATACGCCAATCCTACCCATACAGCTTACTGAACACCTAACCCTGACCCTAGCCCTATACACTCCTTGAACCTGAGCTTTTACTGTCACCATCGACTTCACCCAGGCCACACCATAACCCTGAAGCTCTACCTCACCCTCGCCATCACATCACAGCCATACTGCAACTCTAACTCTAACCCTATCCTCCCCATGCACCTTACCGAACACCTAAGCCTAACCTTAGACCTGGGCCCTGGACCTGACCCCTCACCATCACCATCAAATGCACCCATTCCTCCCCTTAACCCTGAACCTCAATCACGGCCTCGCCCTCATATCAGAAGCAGACCCAAACTCTAACTTTAACCCTGTCCTCCCCATACACCTAACTGATAACCTAACCCTAGCCCTGGACCAAGAACCTGAGCCCTCACTGAAACCATGGATGTCCCCCACACATCACCATAATCCTGAAGCTCAATCACACCCTCGTCCACACATCAGAGCTGGACTGGAACTTTCACCATAACCCAATCCTCCCCTTATATCTTACCGAACACCTAACCCTAACCCTAGCCCTGGCCCCTGGACCTGACCCCTCACTGTCACCATCAACATCACCCACATATCACTGTAACCATGAAGTTCTACCTCGACCTCACCCTGACATCAGAGCCGTACCGTAACTCTAACCATAACCCTATCCTGCCCGTACGCCTTTATGAACACCTAAACCTAACCCGAACTCTGGCCCTGGGACCTTACCCCTCACTGTCACCATCAACATCACCCGCATATCACTGTATCCTTGAACCTCAATCTCGCCCTTGCCGTCACATCATAGGTGGACCTGAACTCTAACCACACACCAGTATCTTCCATGTAAACCTAACCGAATACTTAACCCTAACCCTAGCACTGGCCCCTGGACCTGACCCCTCACCATCACCATCGTCATCACCCACATATCACTGTAACCCTGAAGTTCAATCTCGCCCGCAACCTCACATCAGAGCCAGACCCTAACTCTACCTGTAACCTTATCCATGCCATACACCTTAACAAACACATAACCCTAACCCTAGCCCTGGCCCCTGGACCTGACCCCTCACCATCAGCATTGACATCACCCACACCTCATCGTAACCCTGAACCTCAATCTTGCCCTCATTCTAACATTACTCTCGGACCCCGACTCTAACCAAAATCCTTTCCACACCGTACCCCTTCCCTGAAACCTAATCCTTATCCCTAGGCCTGACACCTGAACCCAGCCCCTCACTGTCACCATCAACGCTACCCCCATGTCAACATAACCCTAAACCTCAATCTCGCCCTCGCCCTTATATTAATCTTCATCCCCAACTCTAACTGTAACCCTATCCTACCCGTTCCCCACACCAGAACACTAACCCTAACGCTAGGCCCAGCCTGGGAACTCAGCCACTCACCATCACCCTTGACATCACCCACACCTCACCATAACCCTGAACTTTAGACTCATCCTCACCCTAACATTTCCCCAGATCCTAACTCTAACCATAAGCCTATCCTTTCCATACCTCCTACCAGACACCTAACCCTTACTGTAACCCCGGGCCTTGAACCCAATCCCTCAGCATCATCATCAACGTCACCCACACTTCACCATAACTCTGAACTTCAATCTCGCCATCACCCTAACATTAGACCTGGTCCCTAATAACCCTAAACCTATCCCCTAATCCTAACCCTGACAACCCTATACCTAAAACCCTAAAACCCTAACCCCCACTCCAATCCTAATCGATAACCCTAACCATAAACCCAACCTGCACCCTAACCCATACTGTAACCCTAACCCTGACCAGTACCCTCACTAACCCCTCCTCTCATTCCTATCCCCTGATTTTAAACCAAATCCCTAAGACAAACTACTCCTCACTGGTTTTCAAACCTCTATTTCTTAAATTCTAGTAATTAAGATTCTAATCCTAAATATCTAAATTCTTAAATCCCAAAGCTCTGAACTGTTAAATTTCCAAATTTAAGCTAGTAATCTGAGTGAAGTTAAAAGAGAACACACCAGGACACAAACATGTTTTTTGTATACATGAGCAATGAATAATCTCAAAAGGAATTTTTTTAATTCCATATTAAATAATGTCAAGATTAATGAAATACTTAGGATTAGAGATATTCAAGGTGTAAGTCTTGTACATTGAAAATTATAAAACATTGGTGATTTAAAAACTAAAGAAGAGCTAAATAAATGTAAAGTCCACCCATATTGATGGAAAGACTTATATACTGTTAAGGGGCAATGGCAAAAATTCCACCTAGCGTCAACATGATTCCTTTGAAATTTCACACAGACTTTAATGCATCAGCCAATCCTGACACATGGAATTTCAAGGGGCCCCAAAGAGCCCTTGAAAACAATCTTGAAATAGAAAATCAAAGCTGAAGGCTCATGCCTCCCAAAATCAAATCTTAGTACAAAGTAACAGTAAACAAAACACTGTGACACACATAAAGGCACACAGTTGGCCCTTGGACAGCAGGGGTGTGAACAGCCCAGGTCCACTTGAGAAGACTTTTTCCACAAATATTTTGAAAAAATGTTTAAAGACTTAGGAAAATTTGAAACATTTGCTTTTTTCTAGCTTACCTTACTGTTAGAATACAGCACAAAATATATATAATGTACAACATGTGTGTTGATTGACTGTTTATATTATTGGTAAGGCTTTCAGTCAAAAGAGAGGACCAGATTTAGGCTAACTTAAGCTTTGGGGTAGTCAGATGTTTTATGTGGATTCTGACTCTGTGGGATGTCAGCTACACAAACCCCCATGTTGTTCAAAGGTCAACTGTATGTACAGATCAACAGAACTGAGAGGAAAGCCCAGAAATTACCCCAACCATCTACAATCATTTACTTTCTGACAAGGGTGGACAACATTAAATTAGGGAAAGAATGGTCTTTTCGGTAAATGGTGCTGGGCAAATGGCTGTCCACGTGCAGAGAAATGAAACTGGACCCTTAATACATACCAGATACAAAAATAAACTCAAGATAAAGGGCTTACATGTAATAGGTAAAATTATAGACTCTAGAAGA